GCGCCGCGGGAGCCGCGGGAGCCGCGGGAGCCGCGCTCGAATCCCCCGCGGGAGCCGAAGGCGCCGCGGCCGCGGCTGCGCTCGGGAGGGGCCGAGGAGTAGCCACCGCCGGGCTCTTGGTAGCCCCCCGAGCTCAGGGACGGCGGCTCCTGCCCGTAGCTGTTGGCTGAAATGGGGAGAAAAAAGGAAAATTAGGAAAAATCCCATTTTTTGGATGAAAATCGGTGAAATTTTGCTGAAATCGCGGCAATTCTGCCCCAAATATCAAGAATTCAGCCCCAAAATTGAGAGAATTCCACCCAATTCTGCCCCCAAAACAGGGTCCTGCCCATAGCTGTTGGCTAAAACGAGAAAAAAAACCATAAATTAGATTAAAATGGGAATTTGGGAAAAAAATTGACAAAAATCGGTGAAATTTTGCCAAAATCGTGGCCGATTTTGTGTCAAATTCCCACGACTTTGCCCCAAATTCCCACAATTTTGACCTAAATCTGGGGGATTTCAGCCCCCCGAGCTCAGGGACGGCGGCTCCTGCCCGTAGCTGTTGGCTGAAATGAGAAAAAATGAAAATTAGGGAAATTTGGGAAAAAAAACTGGACGAAAATCGGTGAAATTTTGACAAAATCGCAGCCCATTTTGCCCCAAATTCCAAAAATTTTGCCCTAAATTCCAATACTTTTGCCCCAAATTTCAGAGAATTCCACACAATTTTGTCCCCCAAATGAGGTCCTTCCTGTAGTTTTTGGCTGAAATGGGGACAGAAAACACAAATTAGGGAAAATCAGAAATTTGGGAAAAAATTTGACGAAAATCGGTGAAATTTTGCCAAAATCGTGGCCGATTTTGTGTCAAATTCAGAGGATTTTGCCCCAAATTTCAGAGAATTCCACACAATTTTGTCCCCAAAACAGGGTCCTGCCTGAAGCTTTTGGCTGAAATGAAAAAAAAACCATAAATTTGGGAAAATTGGGAATTCAGATCAAACATGGTCAAATTCTGCCAAAATTGCGGCCGATTTTGCCCCAAATTTGAAGGATTTTGCCCCAAATCTGAGGGATTTCAGCCACCGCCGGGCTCTTGGTAGCCCCCCGAGCTCAGGGACGGCGGCTCCTGCCCGTAGCTGTTGGCTGAAATGGGGAGAAAAAACAAAAATTAGAGAAAATCCCGTTTTTTCGATGAAAATCGGTGAAATTCCACGAAAAAAACGCGAGAATTTGACCCAAACGCGGCCGATTTTGCACCAAATTTGAGAAAATTCCACCTAATTTTGTCCCCCAAATGAGGTCCCACCCATAGCTGTTGGCTGAAATGAGAAAAAAAAGGAAATTAGGGAAATTTGGGAAAAAATTGGATGAAAATCGGTGAAATTTTGCCAAAATCGCGGTGATTCTGCTCCAAACGCGGCCGATTTTGACTCAAACAGGACCAATTTTGCCCCAAATTCAGAAGATTCAGCCCCAAATTTCTGAGAATTTCACCCAATTTTGTTCCCCAAATGAGGTCCTTCCTGTAGCTGTTGGCTGAAATGGGGAAAAAAACCAACAAATTAGAGAAAATTGAAAATCTCCCATGAAATTTGCCCAAAATCGGTGAAATTTTATGGAATTAGGGCCGATTTTTGTCGCGATTTTTCCTATAATGATCCCGGTTTTTTTCCCAAAATCCCATTTTTTCACCCCAAATTCCACTCACATCCTCCGGATCCGTACTGGCCCTGCTGTCCATAGCTGGGTGGGGCAGTTCCCATCCCAAATCCCCCAATTTGAGCAAATTTTTGCCGCAGTTTCACCAAAATTTGGCCAATTTTTACCGCGATTTCACCCAAAATTCCCGTTTTTTTTCCCAAAATCCCATTTTTTTTGCCCCAAATTCCACTCACATTCTCCAGATCCGTACTGACCCTGCTGTCCATAGCTCAGGGGGGCCGTTCTCACCACAAATCCATCATTTTGAGTCCATTTTAACCCAAATTTGGCCAATTTTCATCCAGATTTTTGCCGCAGTTTCACCAAAATTTGGCCGATTTTCGTCCCGTTTTTTCCCAAAATCCCATTTTTTCACCCCAAATCCCACTCACATCCTCCGGATCCGTACTGGCCCTGCTGTCCATAGCTCAGGGCTGATTATTCCCATCCCAAATCCCAAATTTAAGCTGATTTTACCCCTAAATTGGCCGATTTTTGCCCCGATTTTTGCCGCGATTTTGCCAAAATTTGGCCGATTTTCACCCCGTTTTTTTTCCCAAAATCCCATTTTTTCACCCCAAATCTCACTCACATCCTCCGGATCCGTACTGGCCCTGCTGTCCATAGCTCTGGGATGATTATTCCCATCCCAAATCCCAAATTTAAGCTGATTTTACCCCTAAATTGGCCGATTTTTGCCCCAATTTCGCTAAAATTTGTCGGATTTTCGTCCCTTTTTTTTCCCAAATTCCCATTTTTTCTCCCCAAATCCCACTCACATCCTCCGGATCCGTACTGACTCTGCTGTCCGTAGCTCTGGGATCTTTATTCCCATCCCAAATTCCCTAAAATCCCCCAATTTGAGTCGATTTTTCTCCGAATTTGGCCGATTTTTGTCGCGGTTTTTCCTGTAACGGTCCCGTTTTTTTCCCAAAATCCCATTTTTTTTCCCCAAATCCCACTCACATCCTCCGGATCCGTACTGGCCCTGCTGTCCATAGCTCAAGGGGTCATTCCCATCCCAAATCTTGAATTTGAGCCGATTTTACCCCTAAATTGGCCGTTTTTGCTGTGATTTTTGTTGCGATTTTGCAGATTTCGGTCCCCTTTTTTTTCCCAAAATCCCATTTTTTTTCCCCAAATCCCACTCACATCCTCCGGATCTGTACTGGGCCTGCTGTCCATAGCTCAGGGATGATTATTCCCACCCCAAATCCCCCAATTTGACTCCATTTTTGCAGCGATTTCACCAAAATTTGGCCAATTTTTACCGCGATTTCACCCAAAATTCCCGTTTTTTTTCCCAAAATCCCTTTTTTTCACCCCAAATCCCACTCACATCCTCCGGATCCGTACTGGCCCTGCTGTCCATAGCTCAGGGAGGGTTGTAGGTGCCTTTTCCCATCCCAAACCCCCTAAAATCCCCAAATTTCAGCCGATTTTTGCCGCGATTTTGCCGATTTTTGTCCCGTTTTTTTTCCCAAAATCCCATTTTTTCACCCCAAATCCCACTCACATCCTCCGGAGCCGTACTGGCCCTGCTGTCCATAGCTGGGGGGAGGGTTGTAGGATCCCTGCTGGCCATAGCCCCCAAAATCCCCCAATTTGAGCCGATTTTCTCCGAATTTGGGCCGATTTTTGCTGCGATTTCACCCAAAATTCCCGGTTTTTTTTCCCAAAATCCCGTTTTTTTTCCCCAAATCCCACTCACATCCTCCAGATCCGTACTGGCCCTGCTGTCCATAGCTCAGGGGGGGTTGTAGGTGCCTTTTCCCATCCCAAACCCCCATTTTGGGTCCATTTTCACCCCAATTTGGCCGATTTTTGCCGCGATTTTGCAGATTTCGGTCCCATTTTTTCCCAAAATCGCCGGGTTTTTTCCCAAAATCCCATTTTTCCACCCCAAATCCCACTCACATCCTCCGGATCCGTACTGGCCCTGCTGTCCATAGCTCGGGGATGTTTTTCCCACCCCAAATCCCCCAATTTGACTCCATTTTTGCAGCGATTTCACCAAAATTTGGCCGATTTTTGTCACAATTTTGCCGATTTTTGTCCCTTTTTTTCCCCAAAATCCCATTTTTTCACCCCAAATCCCACTCACATCCTCCAGATCCGTACTGGCCCTGCTGTCCATAGCTGGGGGGAAGGTTGTAGGTGCCTTTTCCCATCCCAAACCCCCAATTTGGGTCCATTTTCACCCAAATTTGGGCCGATTTTTGTCCCGATTTCGCTAAAATTTGTCGGATTTTCGCCCCGTTTTTTTCCCAAAATCCCATTTTTTCGCCCCAAATCCCACTCACATCCTCCGGACCCGTACTGGCCCTGCTGTCCATAGCTGGGGGGAGGGTTGTAGGTGCCTTTTCCCATCCCAAACCCCCATTTTGGGTCAATTTTACCCCTAATTTGGTCAATTTTTGCCGCGATTTCGCTGAATTTGGGCCGATTTTTGTCCCGTTTTTTTCCCAAAATCCCATTTTTTTTCCCCAAATCCCACTCACATCCTCCGGATCCGTACTGGCCCTGCTGTCCATAGCTGGGTGG